AGCCGTTCATGCCAGACTGGGGAGAGAGGTGTTGTAATAATTTAAAATATGTGAAAAATAATGTGTTTTTCGAACAACCTTGTATGAGAGCCTGTTCTAGTACACCCCCCAAAACAAAATCAAGACTTTCAACCCTCTATGGACACCTTGGCAATTGAATCGCCATTGGCTAGTACATTTTTTTGTTTACTCGCCAGACTGAAATACTAATATATACATATAAAGTTATGCCATTTTACAAACATATATAATGTTTGTAAAATGGTACAGCTTTTTAAATATACACTCTTAATATCAGTCAGTCAAGCAGTCAAGCATTATAATATGATAATAAAAGTTTAGTAATTAGAATTCAAACTTGGTAACCATGAACTTAGGACTGATGCTGGTGCTTTTTTTGGTCATTCAGTGTTCCAGTAAAAAAACAACAAAAAAAAACTATAATACTGATAAGATATTATTATTATTATACGAATTCTATTAATAAGAATAATATAAAAACGCACTAAGGATTAATGAGCTACTGGATTCATGAATATTAATCAAGTTGTGCGTTTGCTCGAACGGATTCGCTTAAATCAAAACAGGGACGATAATAGGTGAGCGCCAGCCAATGAGATTGTCGTTTGCGCATTAGTTCCGCCTACTACAGGAAAACCCGGCAGTTCTTAAAAGCTGAAGAATTCCAAAGGAACTCTGTTATTTTTACAGGAAAATACAACAAAGTATATCGTTTACATGTAGTGCATAAATTCTGCATGTTATGTAAGACGCTCGCTCGCTCTCGCTCTTTGCGCGTGTGTGAGAGAAAGCGACGGCGTCGTGCGCCTTCACACTAGAGTTTACGTTACGCCAAATACACAAACACAGGTGCGCTGCGCATCCATTCAAATGAACTGAAAAACATCACAGATCGCTTGACGGAGAGTGAAACTCTGAAGCGCTCAGTCAGAGTGTTCTGTGAGTGAAAATATATCTGTGCTAATCATATACTCAGCCTCCAACTCACACACTGGCGAGTAAAATCTGAGAATTTATTAGCCATCGGCTAATATTAGACATCATTTAGTCACCCAGAGTGAAGATTTAGTCGCATATGAGAGTGATTTTACTCGCAATGTAGAGGGTTGACTTTGTAAAAGAGCATAATATGACCCCTTTAAAAATTAGCTTTCATCTGCACATTTAAAATAAAAACCAAAGTCATTTTCCTAATGTAACTCTCAGCTTGCAAGTTTTTGGGTCCAAAAACTCTGAGATCCCAAACGCAAACAACAAATGGTGCTAATATACACTCACAGTGTCTTGTAATACTGTTGAAAAATCATGATTCTAAACTATCTTTAAAGGCATTTCAGTTACTGACAGCGATTCTTTTTTTTATGAATGGTATGAGCCAGAAGACTGTGGAGTACAATGTGAGTTTCTACAAAGCTTGGCTTAAATATGTGATATTAATAAACTGTGCTCATAAAAGGCTGTTGAAATAGTATTCTCAAATGATACTTGGATTCGGAAACAGTATTCGATACATCAAGACCTCAAAGCAGCATTGCAAGACTTTTTGTCCACTAAAATTCACCTTTGTTGTAAATCTCTACACGTAGAAAGTCTTCCATCTTTAAAATGACTGGGAGCACTGCAAACTTGACCCCAATCTGAAGGTCAACAACGCCTTATCAATTTAAAACACATCAAACAGCACAAAACCATGTTGCCATAAATGTCATATCAAGCATGATAACGTTAACAACTCACTTTAGGAAGTATCTCTGGCCTGAAGGGGTCTTGGCCATCTCCCAGCCTGGGGGCAACGGCACATCATCAGGTATTTCGTAAGAAGACTGGCGGAGGTGCTGGGGTGGGGCGTTTGCTGGAACCATGCTGCTCAGTGTGCCAGGAGAAACTGCACCCAGCTGCAGGGAGGCGGGTGAGGAGTGTGCCCTGACGTGCTGGGGCGTGAGAGTACCAGCAGTACCTGCATCCGTGCTGGCCTGTACAGGGATAGAGGATTATCTTAGCATAAAGAAGACATTTAGATTAGGATTAGATTTAAAGCAAGAAGGCTACAAACAAACAATAAGTCTCTTAAATAGCAAAGAGACTTATGTCTAAACCTTAATAATTCAAAACACGGATGATGTCACGTATATATATATATACACACAAAGAACAAGCACGCACACATGTGATTCTCAACCTATGTAACTCAAAGATGCCCTATTCTGAAGGTCATATACTAAATAGTTGTATTAAAGGCACAATATGTAATTTTCGCCGCTAGAGGGCGCGTATTCAAAATAAACAGAGGCAAAGGCGTAGTTTGATGACTAAGTGTGGAATCATGGGAGTTGTGGTCTTCATCCCCCCAGCCGATGCAGGGACTCGAGCAGAAATCATGTTCATGGATGAGCTAATGATTTATTAACGTAGTAGAATGAAGCAGGGTGAGGCTGAAAGCCGTCGAAGCGAAACGAGGCGCTGAACGAGTGTGACACACGTCTCGAAAGCAGCGGAGCTTTTATTATGCCACAGTCGACCGCTACCGCTCCTTCCGGTCGTGCGTATGTGTGGGGGGAATGCAGCGCTGTTTTATCATACTAGATGCATTTGAAAGTTGTGTTATAATGCTACTCTGTGCGGTCCTCGCCGGTCTATTAAAACGCAGAATATATTAAAGCGTCTTTGGTGTTTCCATGTTTTCGGAAATCGAGGGGTTATGACGTCATTGGCAGTCGACACAAGGACACTATGGACACGGTCCGTGTCACTAGTTAAAATTGCTTTTTTCTCTGGATTTAAACATTCTTCGAAACATTTGGGATAATGTAAGTACACAAGTCAGCAAATTATATAACACTGTTCAAGTGGTTTTTGGATATTTTAATAAAAAAATCTTACATATTGTGCCTTTAAGTTTTCCTCTTGTAACTCTGCTGAAATGATGACAGAAAGTAGGGTTACAATGCATGGACACATTCATTAATCATGATTAATCTTACAATGTAATTGTTAAAGCATTGTTTCTTAGGCTTTTTGTTTTCTTTCCTCTCATATGGAACCAATCTGTTTTCCTGATGCCATAAGTCTGAAGTCCTCCACATGTAAAAATGTTTTTTTTTAAATCCAGAATAAGAAATATTAAGAAATTTTGCATTTTAACTAAGCTATTTAAATAAATATAATAAAAATCATTTTTAAACTATGTGAACTTTGGAGGGTTATCGAAGTATGAGAAATTAGTCATTTCTTTTCCAGTTAATACAGGGAAAGTCAAAGGATAATAGGATAATAACAACGTATTTCCAACATGAATAAAACACCATACATGGAAACGTAAATCACAAACGATTAAATTTACACATGGGCACTGATGTCCCTTTGAATCATAACCGAGTGTTGCTTTCATTAGTTTTATCAGCTCCTTTTACAATAACAAATATTTCAGAAACGGATGTGGCCTAGGCTGCAGACTTTAGGAGGAGCTAAGTAGGAAACAGGCTGTCGATCCTGGGCAACTTTTCAGCAGAATTTAAGATGTGCGCATGCGCAACATGTGATTCCAAACCCGAGAAAACTTGATTACTTTTGCTGACAACTTTTTTTCTTTTCTTTTCTTTCTTTTTAATTAAGCTTTAAAATATGACCTATTTTAAGTATATTCACTCGTGGAACAAGTGCTGGAAACACTATAAACCTCATATTGTTTATAAACCGTTTATCGCCATTCTTATATAAAAAAAGCATTAAAAGTGAAAGTCCGCTGCAATGAACAAAACACTGAAAAGCATATTTCAGGAATGAAGTCGTGTGGTCTGTGTTTTCTTTCGGCTGTTTAGAATATAGCGCTGCTCCCCGTCGCTAAAGAATCACTCTTTTGAGTCGGTTCTTTTGAATTAACTGTATAAACCAAACGGGTTTGCAAATAGTCTGAATCATTTCGCGATTCAGTCTGAATCACTCCAATAGCTCACTCATGAACTGAATCGTTTAGAGAGGTTTCACTCCGTAAAACAGTAACAATGTTTTATATAACACAGAAGACAGAACAAAAAAAAACGCTGGATGAAGTGTAATGTTTACCTATCATAAGCTGAAATAAAACCTGGAAATAAATCGTATCTTGTGAGAGTGCATGCAGCTAGGGAATGACTTTGTACTGTCGGTCAAGACATTTGAACCCACTAAGTATCAAAATACAAAGAGTACAGAATGATATGACAAAGTACCATGTATACTACCATCACTTTACCCTAGTACTGGTGGTACCCCTTTTTCAACTTCAACTAGTTCTAGGAGTGAATATAAGAGAGAGGCAACGCTTTTATTCTGCAGATCAAACTTTTTGTTGGTTTGTTTGCTGCAGTATAACTAGCTACTTTCCGAACGGTAACTTTCAGTTCAGCTATTTTTCCTGTGGAATAGTTGGTATAGCTTGCATAGGAGTTTAAGAATGATACATTTCTGAGGACTATTTGTGTTACGACTATTCTATTCATTTTTAATAGAATTTCTGTTTGTTATAAATTATGTTTGACATGTCATTATTATAATTTTACTTTATACTCTGCTGTCATATGAGGAAATACGTCCGCTTATGCGCTTTATTGTTTATTTAGCCTTATTCACTGTATTCCCCCCCTAACGCAGTGCTTACTGTTCTTTGCTCGTGCAATAACAAATCTACATCGCCAGAGTTACACACTAAAGGTTATAATCAGCAGAGACTGGAAAGGCTGAAAAGTCGTGGCCCCTCGCGCCAGTTGCAGTGTCAGGCACAGGAACATTTTGTGGAAATAGTTTGTGGTTTCTGTGGGGGTGGTCTCTTACTTGTCTGGAGTGGGACTTTGGCTCTGGCGGCTTGAAGAATGAGTCTGGCAGCTTTCTCATCCTCATCGGCACGGAGGGAGGGGTGATGGTGTTTTTCGGGTTCATCACAGCGTTAAAAAGAGCCTCCAGATCGGTCTCGGAGTCTCCCCGAACATGGACGATCTGATGGCCGGCAGGAGGGTTGTGCTGGCTCGGATCCATGACTCCAGATAAAACGTAGCGCTTCTTTCTATCCGACTGAATTGTTGGAAACAGGAAAATTGGCTGCAACCATAAAATGCCAAAAGATTAAATCCAAACAGCTCAAAGCTGTTTTCTGTCCGTCCGCTTTATTAATTATCCAAGCCTTGCGAAAAAAGTAGGCAAAGCTGTGTTTTTCTGCTTCCCGAGAACACCCCAATAAATGTGGAAACGCGCATATCTACTCAACTTTGTCGTTTAAACTTCTTCTGAAGTATCTGCACTCTTTAAAAGCGCTGTCCGTGTGACTTTCCCACAAGTTTACGGCTCCTCTAACGCAGACATTGAAAATCACAGCCCTCTCACTAACCTAACCACCTTTTTTTTTTCTTCTCTCAACTTCTGAAAGTTTGGGCAGGACATCAAACTTTATGAGTCATGTGACCGCTGACTCAGAGGGGCGGGGCTTAAGCAAGAGCCTTTAAAGCTACAAGATGTTCTTCTGTGCGGGGGCCCATGTATAGAGCCCATAATTATTTACATGTCAGGCATTAGTGTTTTAAGAATGATTAATAAAGTGTTTAAATATCTATTAGGGTCGTATATATCTATATTATAATTTATTTCAAGCTAATACATTTGTATGTAATCTGTATCATCCAATAGGTTTATGATAATAAAACAATCATCATGACACAGCATTTATTTTCTTTTATAACAAAGTGGTCATTCAAGGATGATCTGTGGGTTTTTAGGGGGTGTCACAATTTTTCATTCATATTTCAGCTATGCCATGTCACTCATCACACAGAATACATCTCATTATACAAAAATACACCAGTGAAGTTCAAGCTCTCGCTTCTTTATGAATAAAGAAATAAATTGTCTTTCATTATGTAGAAAGCTGCAGAAAAGTAGTTCCATGCAGTTCCCATAATTGTTATGTAAATGAGCCTTCCCGGGCCATTGAGAAATCATTTTGTCAAGACTGAGCCCAGCTCTTTTCCCATACATTTAACATTGAGGGACTGATTATGAACCCCCTTTAATCCCCTGTGGGAACTGTAAGGGCATGATGAATGGATTCAAAAAAGTTACTTTGTACTTTTCCCTTTTAACCAGCCAACCAATATCCAGCCCTAACACGAACTGTCTCTATATATAATTAACCACATTATGTGTGTGTTTTTTGTCAATGCCTTGTCATTTATTCTGCTCTGAATTATCTCCGTATTAAACTCTAGTGATCATGAAGTGAATGCAGGGGAGACCAGGCTGCTGTTAGCTGTAACTCCATCATTTGTGAATGGTGTGAAATCATTACTGGACCATTACCCTCCTAATGTGACCTTTTGAAGACTAATTTTTTGCCATTTTGAAAGTGAAACGAGAGTGGTGTTGGATGACGGTATATAGGCCTAGCTACAATTATTTTTGTACAATTAAATTTGATTACCATAGCTCAAGCATCAATTTCAAAATGTCAAACAAGTTACAGTAGTGTAAAGGGGTAGGTTGTTTTTGCAGTTGACATTAATTTACACAGTGTAGTGATAAATAGATTTTAATCAGCTGTATTTTGTGGCAGACAGATGTGGAGATATTATATCAAATTGTTTGGCATAGGCATTGAGCAAAAATCCACTGAGTTACCGATGTTTAAACAAAATTCTCCCTGGTTTCCTCCACAATGGGAAATTCTGATCAAGTTTTCAGCGCAAAATCATTCAGTCTCTTTTATTTTACCACAGTATTTGAAGGTTTGCAACAGTATCGTGACTTGACATGATACTCCAAGTAAGTTGCTGTCTCTGAAAATATTCTTTAATTTGATTGTCCTGTTTGTGTGTGTGAGTGTGTGTGTAAGATCATTAAAGAGTGGTAAATATCCTGAAATGACTGCGGCAGTATTTAAAGGTTTGTTCTGGGGGTTACCCTGCCCAACCCTGGGGGAGACCACCCACTTAGCTGTCCTGAGGGTAACTCCATCATTTAGTCAACATGTCCCAACATCTTTGAGCCTGTGACAATTATCTTTGAGCCTGCGACAATTGTTGACATCAGTATTAGCCTACACAAGAAACGGAAGTGTTATTGAACAAAATTATGTGTCAGTGGTTTAGGATTGTAAAACAGTAGGTCCTACATAAAAAAATATTGAAAATGTAATGTAAATGTTTTTTTAAATTCTCCTCCCGTCTTTTAGATCTCCTGTCATAAATGGGGTAATTCCCTATCTTTCATCTTTTAAGATGAGACAGCTTATTTGTTTTGTTAATAATCCACGTGATAATGTGTATAATGAAGATAGCAGTGGAAATGTTTCCATAATCCTCTTCTGAATGGAAATGAGAGCATTTGTGCGCCCTCTATAGGTCAATGACAGATGAGATGCTCTAATAGACATTTTATTGTAATTAATTTTTTTGTCATCTTGATTAATTTGAATTCATTTTGGCCATTATTTAAAAATATATTGTCTTAATAATAAAATAACATAATATGTTCTCTCTGACACTCCTTTACCACCAAAAAATGGAATGAAAATTTACTCACCCATCCAAGATTTAAATTAATATGTTTAATCGGAACAGATATGGAGCAATTTAGCATTACGTCACTTGCTCACCAATGAATACTCTGCAGTGAATGGGTGCCGTCAGAATGAGACTCCAAACAGCTGATAAAAATATCACAATAATCCATAAGTAATCCAAATGACTCCAGTTCATCAGTTAACGTTTTATTTAAGTGAAACGCTGCATGTTTGTAAGAAACACATCCATCATTAAAGCGTTTTTTTACTTATTCTGTAATATTAGCCTATTGGTTTTACGGCACTGACACTATCGGGTGAAAACAAAACTTTAACCTAATTGATCTGAATGATGACACTATTGTCATCTATAGAACTGCTTTATTGCTTAATCATCAGTTTTAAATTGGATGAATTTTGCCACATCCACACTTGTTAGAACTGCTTCACAGCCGAATTTGAATGTGTCTTGTATTTGCTTAAGTTTGCATCATTGATTTCTGTTTATTTCCTGTTTATTATTGTGAAGCGGCATGGAGACAATCTGTATTGTATAAAGGTGACCTAACTTGAAAAGGTTACAAAACAATGTCTTAGGGTTTGAACGTAGCTTCAGGAAGTGGAAGCTTCATGGAGCCACCCAAAAAACAAAAACTGTTAAAACTGTTGGCCGTCAAATAATGAATGATGATCGCTTTGATGAAAGTTCAACAAGGAGTAAACAATCAAATGTTCTCCACAAAACTGGCTTGTAAGGCTGCACAGGAAAAGCCATAATGACTGTGGAAGCACTCCTGAAATTTGCCCAAAAAGCTAGAAAGAATATGAATAAAAATGTGATTTTGTGTTCAGATGAAGCTACGAGCTTGCCGTTCTGTGGCACTCAAACCAGCAGGTATCTGCATGTGGTTGGCTCGTGCTCTAAACAGGTAGGAATGGATGGAGCAAAATACGAGGAAATACCGCAAGACAATCTCTTTCTGTCAGCAAAAACTGAAGCTTGGTAGTAAATTACCTAAAATATGTTCATGTCTTTGCTTAGTCACGTTGACCTGAATATTCTGGTGAACAAACACTACTAATCTGATCTGCCTGCAAAGTTATTGTAAAAGACCTGAACCTGAATCTGCTATCGATGGAAAAGGTGACTCCACAAAATATTAAAACTAGAACATTGAGGAATGTATAATCCAAATAGAATAGTAAACTTATATAAAAATCATACATTCAATCATACATCACAGTCAATTTTCCAATTCAGTTATTAACTTGGATAGCAGGCTTACATAGGCCTACCAATGCTTACTTAACCGCTCATGCAAAAGAGAAAGAAAAACACCCTGATAACTTCATGCTCTTTGTGGTTTAAGATTCGCCGGCGTTCATTCTGTCAGGTCTTTCTGGGAAGGGTGCAGTGTCTCTTCTCCGGTCAGCTTGCCTTGGCTTGTTGCAGCGGGTGGATCAGGTCCCTGCACCTTTGAAGAATTTGGCAGAGATTGCCTTCCCTCTTTGAAATGTGACAAATTGAAATGTATTGCAAGAACACACTTGCTGAACAGGTTTTCGACTCATTGTGTGTCTGTACTGTACTGTCTAAAAGGCAGTTTCTCACCTAAATTTGTCTTTCCACTTGACAGGGGAGGGTTTCCTTTGCTGACGGATTTTATGTTTCCACTTTATATACAAAAAAATGTTCCCACTCATATCAAACGTTTTTAAGTGCAAATGCTGTTTGTGTGAGAACATAGAACCATGTATTTCATTATCTTCACATGACTATGTTCTCGTTTTCAATTTATTGTACTTTCAATAAAGTACAATAAATAATTGCATTGGTTTAGAGAGGATTTATTTTTATGTTTCATTTAAGCACAGTAGTGGCCGTTACAAAAAACAAAACAAAAAACCATATACACACTGTCAGACTCTGTTCCGTGTTTTGTGTGTGTTTTGCTCCCCCACGTGCTCCAGGTTATGTTTATGTCCTTATTTGGTCTTCCTGTTCCTGTCCTGATTGTGTTTCCAGGTGTTCCCCTTTTAGTTCTATTGTAGACGTGTCCCATGAGCTCTCTTACTATTTAAGCCGTGTGTGTTTCCATTCTTCCTCGTCCGGTATTGTGAATGAACGTCGATCCCCGTGATGTCAATAAAGACTGTTATTCCTGCTTCTCCTCGTTCCTCGCTCCTCACCAGGCACACCGTGACACACACTACTACAACGGGGTTTTTGATTTTGGAAAGAAACTCATCTTACTAATTCTGTTGGCAAATATTGTATTCTGTTTGCAAGTATGCAAATATGATCAAAAGTGAAAGTAAAGACATTTATAATGTAACTGACGTTTTTTTTGTTTTAAATTTCAAATAAATGCTGTTCTTTTTCTATTCTACTCATCACAGACTCCTAAGAAAACTGCATCATGGTTTCCACAAAAAGCAGCACGAATGTTTTTAACATTGATAAGAAATATTTTTTGAGCAGCAAATCAGCATATTAGAATGATTTCTGAAGGATCATGTGGCACTGAAGACTTGAGAAAATTCAGCTTTTCCATCACAGGAATAAATAAAAATGATCAATAATAAAAGATAGAAAATAGAATTTATAGAAAGAGAAAGAAAGAAAATGGAAGTAAATATATCAAACATAAATATATAAAATAGAAACGATTTTAAAAAATAGATTTAAAAAAACTGAAAAATAGAAATTGTAATAAAAATGGGAACTATAGAATGCTACTTTTACGGTACTTTTGATCATTTTCACTGTGAGCATAGGAGACTTATTACAAATACATTTAAAACATGTTTTATATAAAGGTAATACAACAAAGCCAAAAAATATATGTA